TCTTGCTCTTTTTTGATTGTTGTTTGCTGGATATGTTTTTTCCATTTTGAGTTTTAGTTTGTGTTTTTGTGTCTAAGGTGTGTCTCTTATAGACAGCATATAGACAGATTCTGTTTTTTATGCATTCTGCCACTCTGTGTCTCTTTATTGGTGCATTTAGTCCATTAACATTCTGTGTAATTATTGATAAGAATGAGTTTAGTGCTGTCATTTTGATGTATTTTTTGTGTTGTTGATAGTTTTTTTTCCATTTAATTTTCTGTGCTGAGTCATTATCTTTATGTATTTTCCTTTTATCTTTTTCATTGCTGTTGATTTTGTATTTGCTGCATCTTTATGTTTTTCTTCTTTTTAATTTTAATGTGTAGGTTTGTTAGTTTCCTTTGTGGTTACCTTAAAATTTACCTCTATTTTTCTAAGTTTAAATCAATCTTTTATTTCTTGATATCACCTTAACTTCCTCTCCATATGAAAGTTCTATGTCTACACTATTTAGTCCCTCTTTTTTGTTTTAATGTTATCTTTTACACATTGACATCTGTTTTCCTATTTTCAATGTTTTAGCTTTGACTTATTTTTGTGACTTCCCTATCTGGGTTGATATCTGGTTTTTCTGTCCTGTATTCTAGTCTTGGGTTGTTATCTAATATTATTGATTCTCTAACCAGAGGACTCCCTTTAGTATTTCTTGTAATTTTGGTTTGGTTTTTACAAATTCCCTTAACTTCTCTTTATCTGGAAATGCCCTAATTTCGCCTTCATATTTGAGAGACAGTTTTGCTGGATATATAATTCTTGGCTGGCAATTTTTTTCCTTCAAGGCTGTATATATGTCATCCCATTGCCTTCTTGTCTGCATGGTTTCTGCTGAGTAGTCAGAGTTTAGTCTTACTGACTCTCCTTTGTTGATGACTTTTCATTTATCCCTAGCCACTCTTAAAATCCTCTCTTTATCTTTGGTTTTGGCAAGTTTGAGTATAATATGTCTTGCTGAGTTTCTTTTGGGATCTGCACTGTGTGGGGTTTGATGAGCTTCTTGGATATTTTCTCATCTTTCATGATATCAGGGAAGTTTTCTGCTAACAAATCTTCTATATTTTCTGTACCCCCCCCCCCTTTCCTGGTATTCCAATCACTCATAAGTTATTTCTCCTGAGAGAATCCCACATAATTTTAGGGTTTCTTCATTTTTTCAAACTCTTTTATCTGATTTTTCATCAAATAAAGTGGTGTCAACTGCTTTATCTTCAATCTCACTAATTCTGACTTCCATCTCCTAAATTCTGCTCCTATTGTTAATCTTTTGGATTTCTATTTGCTGTCTCTCTATGGATTCTAGCAGCCTGTTAAATTTGTCATTTTACTCTTCTATAGCCTTCCTACATTCCTCTATTGCTTTGTCTGTGTGTTCCTTTGATTGATCTGAATTTTGAATGATCTCCTTCTTGATATCTTGAAGAGCTCTGCATGTTAATCTTTTGAATTCTACCTCCAGTAATTCCAAGACCTTCTCTTCCTCCAGAAGGTTTCCTGGTTCTTTGTTTTGGTCACTTGCTGAAGCCATCATGGTCTGCCTCTTTATGTGATTTGATATTGACTTGTCTCTGAGCCATCAACAAGTTATTATATTTATTTATTTTATGTTTGCTTACTGTGTCCTAGCTTCTTGTTTTTTCTTTTGATATGCCGAAATAGGCTGGTCATGTGAGCTACTTTGATTATTGGCATCTTTGAAGCTCTCATGTCCTGTCACCAGGTGGTTATAGCTGCTACTAGGTATGTGAGCCTAGAAGTCCATTTACTTTTCTTGTGTGGATTCAGCTCAGATGCCCAGGTCGTTGGTCACCGATTGTGTGGTGCAGGCTCTTAGGTACAGTTCTAGACTGGCTGGGCTACATGGGGTGATTAGAGCAGGCACAGGTATCTGGCTGCAGTAGGGGATTATGTGCCGAGCAAGGTCGGGGGCTGATGGCTACCCCTGAGTGCCTGGGTGGAAGGCATGTCCCTGTTCCCTTCAGCACATAGGTGGTGGGTTTTGCAACTGCACTTTAGGTACCCAGTGCTGTTGGCTGTAAAGACTGGGAGGTAACACTTATTCTCAGATCCCTGTCATGGGTGACTAGGTGTAGTGGGTGGAGCCACCAGTCCTCAGGCCCCTGACATGTGTAGGTGAGGATTCTGCTTAATGGGCAGGGCAGTGTCAAATGTCACAAATCTGCCACTTCCCCTTAGCTGTTGCAGTTGAAAATAGGCCTCAGGTATATACTCTGTTTTACTATGTTAATGAGGGCCTACACTGTTGAAATGGGCCCACACAGGTCTAGGCAGGGGTGAAAGACATTCAAAGTCCATGGACCCCTTATACCTGTGCCTAGGCAAAGGGGCTGTGCCTGCCCTGAGGTCCTGGTTTAGTGGAGCTGGCAGATTCTTTCCTCTTGTTTGTTCATTTGTTTATTTGTTCCCTCTCCAAAGCCGGGAGACTGGCTTGGGTGTGTGCGAAGGGTCCCACTTCCAGCCTAGGGGGCATGGGAATTGCTGAAGCCAGACCAGGCCCAGAGCAGAGCGGGGAGGGTGCAGGTGAGGGGGAGAGAGGCACTTCCCAGAGAGGGAAGTGTTATTTTGATCCCTTGTGGTGGGTTAGACGCTTGCACCTAGCTTGCGAAGATCCAGTGCCGCTTCCCTCTGGCTCAGGAGGCTGATGCTGACTCTTCGCCACTCAGTTTGTCCCAACATGAAAAACGTTGTCCCAAGCACTACTGCTTGCCTCAGCCAGTGTGCACCAGATGATCCGGCATTCAGGGTGCTGGCTGGGTCAGGTCTGGCAAATCCTCACTGCTTCTAAACTGTCTCTTCCTCCCTCTGCCATGCAGTCAAACTCAACTTTGTCTTTGATGTTCAGGGCTCCTAGATTGTCATATATAATCAATTCACTTGTTTTTTTCAGGTCTTTGTTGTAAGAGGGACCACAGAAATTGTCTGACTATTCCACCATTGTCTTAGGCTGGGTTCTCTAGAGAAGCAAAACCAGTAAAGCATATACATATATATATAGAGAGATTTATATCAAGGAAATAGCTCATGCGATTGTAGAGGCTAGAACCTCACAAGTCCGTGGATCTGGGTAAAGGTCTCTCCCAATTCATGCAGCCACAGAAGCTGGTGAGCCCAAAATCAGCAGGTCATAGAGGAGGGCTCCCACTCACAGGCTGTGAAGGTCAATGAACTCCAAGATCGGCCCGCAAGACCGCAAGGTTTCTCCTGATTCACATACCTGCAGGGGCTGGCAAACCCAAGATAGTCAGGTCAGAGAGCAGGGCTCCACTCACAGGCTTTGAAGATTGACATATCTCAAGTTCGGCAGATGAGCTGACAGCTCATGTCCCAAGAACCGGAGGTCAGATGAACAGTAGGCAGCTGCAGGATCCAGAGTGAGCAAAAGTCCAGAACGTCTGCTTATATTCAGATGTAGGCCACACCCCCAGGGAAACTCCCTTTCCACTGATTGGCTGCTCACAGCATATTCAGTCATGGGAGCGATCACATATAAACACTAAGAATCATGGCCCAGCCAAGTTGACACAACCATCTTAACCATCACAACCATCTTGACCCCTCCAGCTTCTTATTTAAAGAGGTCTCAGTGCCTTGGTTAACACTGATGCAGAGCAGCTTAAAGTATGATCTTCGCCGGGGAAGTCTGCTTTCTAATAGCCATAAGCCAATATTGCAGACATTTCTATAGCATAGACACAATGTTTGCCACACTCATACACCACGTCTATTATTATTTTTTTCCCTCTAAATTGACTCACCTTTCTACTACAAGATTATTTCAAAAGGAAAACTACTGTACGCCTACCACATTGCGTATCCCTGGTATTAGGCCAGGATTCCCTGGAAAGTAGAGACAGAGAAAAAATCCTGAGTGAAATAGCTTATTTGGGAATGTGAGTCCAGGGGTGCAGGACAGGGGTTGTGAAAAAGGGAAGCGGAGAAGACCAGTACAAGGATACCTAAACAAGTTGCCCACTGCTTAAGGGAACTCGTACTGGATCCCACTGGACTTTTTGGCTGGGGAATTGTGAAATGCACTTCAGAACTCTCCCCCTGGGAGAAAAAGGGAAAGCATTTGTTCATCAACTTGTGGACAAGTTGGTCACCCCATGGGCATTAACTTCCCCACATGTTCAGGTTGCACATCCTTCCGTGCTTCCAAGTGGATCTCATGCCAAGCAACAGAGAAGCCCTGGGGCCACAAGCACACAGGCAAGGTGCTGTCAGGTTATATCTGTGCAAAACTGGTTGACTGGGTCCAGCTTGGGTCAGTGTTTATCCATGGGGTGCCCAGAATTATTCTATATGGGAGGGGCACAGGGATGGTGGGCTGGTTGGAAATGTGGAGGATAGAGGATGAGAGGATTTATTTTAGACCTATGTTTGCTTGCAGTGGCTTGGAGGTGTGTGATTAAGATTATGGAGTGAGGGGACTACAATTTTCCCAACCCCACCCCTTGGTGCTATCATTGTGCTTACCCGAGGTCCACTTTACCATGGTTAGGGTGACTGGGATACATGTCCAACATTGCTGCCAGGAGCCCACCCTGTGAAGGCAGTGGGGGTGGAGGAGTGGACAGTGCAGGTAAGGGTGTCCTTGTGAGCTAAGCACTCTCCAAAAAGTGTCCACTCTTTGTGGGACCTATGGCCTACCCCTGTAGTGGAGAAACATGACTAAGAAGAGTAACTCTGATGCTGAAACAAAATGAAACCAGCACAGAAGAAGCGAGCTGGAAATATAAAGCTTACGTACTACCCCCAGGCAAAGCCAATGGACCTGCTCCTCCCACCTTTGAGGCACCGTTCTGCCTTTTCCCCCAGCTGCCCAATGCAGACTGCCCGGGGTGTTCAGTCGTTCATGCATGGTGACGAGGGAGGAACGCAGGTGTGGTTTCCACAGACCACACCCTCTAAGGAGGTGACTGATAGAAAGAGGCAGGCAGAGGGAGGTTCCTCAAACCACACACTTATAACACCAAAGCCATTCTGCTTTGACTTATGTATTTCTGGGTGAAGGAGACTCAGATCCTCTATCGAATAAAGGAAGTTGGAAGGGGAAATAACACCTCCATGACATATTAGTCCCTGAAAATCTGAGTGGTTTGCTATTATTTTGGAGACAGCAAGAAAGGAACATCTCAGAAGTGAGGCTTCACCCTTTGATTTTTACCACAAAAGAAAAAGAGAAATTTTTCTTCAGCAAGTACCGTAAGTACATTTACTATTATCTTACTATCAGACAACTTGGTATAACTTGTTACTGACAACCTGACTGCTTTTTAAACAAGCATGCCCTCGCTACTAACTCTGAGAGGCATGCTGTCATTAGCTGCCATCTAGTTGGCCTCTACACATGGGGACCCCATGCACAACAGATCGGACCATTGTGATTCATAGGGTTTTAATGGGCTGATTTTTCAAAAGTAGATCACCCGGCCTTTCTCCCTAGCTCAGTCTGGAAGCTCCACTGAAACCTGTTCAGCATCATAGCAACACACAACCCTCCACCGACAGATAGGTGGTGGCTGTGCATGAGATGCCTTGGCCGGGAATCAAACTCAAGTCTCCCGCAAGGAAGGTGAGAATTCTACCACTGAACTAGCCACTGCCTTCCCTCTAAGGCAAATACTTGCCCTGAAAGGAGTCTTCCCCGGGTCTCTTATTTCCAGGGAAGTTGCGGCTTCCCGAAACATTTGGAGAATCACTATCAGAGTTGTGGCCCATTCTTTTAAATTTCCTAGATGGCGACAAATATTCATTTCGTAAGCTGAATTTGAGTTTTTTTAAGCCACTAAAATTCCGGTGAATAAGTGTGTTCAAGCTAATCTTGGTTAAAATGGAGTGTGGCTAATAAATAATGTGGCGCAACTAGACAACTAGTTCTGGGGGAGGGGGCATCCCAAAGAGATGATGCAAACACTTTCTCGGCAGCACCAGGGGACTAAGTCTATAGTAGCAGCCAGAAAGAACCATTTCGGAGCAATCATTTTCTTTCTAAATTTTGACATATTTTCTAAAAAAAATCAGCTACCTCACATTATACTGCATAATATAAATTAATTTTGCAGACTGTGTCCTTTTTTCTCTCCTTTTACTGGTAGACTTTTTCTGTTGATTCAAATTGTCTATGTTTAAGATGTTAAGTGCCACTTAAGAACTGAGACATTTGGCTTCTTATGTTAGTATGTTAAGAAAGAAATTGTTTCCTCACTTAAGCCCTGCCTTGTACAGAATATGCCCTCCCTGGTTGTTCTGTGTTTCTCAGTATGTTCTGAAGAGGATCGAACTTTCTTCAGTTAGCTAACTGATATGGAGAGTCCTTATAGCCCTCTGTGTTTACAGAGAGCTGTCTCAGTAACACCTCTTGAATGAGAAGCATTCCAGGAAGAGCTATCGCTGGTTCTCCCAACACCACAAGACAGGGCTACCTCCCAACAGAGTTCAGCCCACCTTTGCTTTTCCCTCATGGTCATGCCCTGGTTTAAAGGTCTCTCAGGTTAAGATCCCCTACTCATTTCAGAAAGGCAAATAGGGAGGTGTACAACCCATGGTCGGCAGACATTCCTTCCTGGGAGCTTTTATATATATATATATATATATATACATTTTTTTTTCTTTCTCAGATATGAAAATAAATCCACACCTTTTATATGGAGGGGTTTGGAGACTCAGATACACTGTCCAACCACTAATCAGTGTGCTTTGCAAACGTCAGTGGAGAACCCTTGATAGGGGACAATTGAGTTGTCTTCTGCCCCTGCCTGGGGTGGGAGACCTGGAAGGTGCCCAGGTCTTACTGGGCTCTAATTGATTTGCTTTCCTTTCGCTCCTAAGCATCTGAAGCCATGCGTCACACACTGATGCGAGGAACACCACCACTCCAGCGGCCGCACTTCAAGCTCTTTCAGCTCTTAGTGTTGACTGGTCTTTTTCACTTCTGCTTAGGTAAGCAACTTTTAGGAATTCAGCTGAGTCCACTGCTACGGGGCTAAGAGAAAGGAGACGGTGTTCCCTGTGCTGCTTGCTTCTGTCACCCTGTGAGCTGAAAGGGATCTTTAGTCAGTGGCATCACTAGGGTGTGTGGGGGGGTGCAGGCCACACCCAGTGACACTGTCAGAAAGGGTGACACCAAAACGACCGTCTATAAAATTTTTGTGCAGTGTTGCAGCAGAAATTTATTATTTTTTATAAAAATATCCCTGTAGTTAATTATAACAACAAAATTTTTCTTCGTAAGCCCAGCTTACATGTATCAGTATACTTACAAGGCCAACACTATGCTAATTTACTTTTGAACTTTCTAATGCAATGCGGTCAGAGCTGTTATTATTACCCAATTACAGTGATGCTTTGATTCACGTGGTTTCCTCTGCACACACTACAAGTATGCATGGTTGTTTCCGTTGCTGCCAGTGGTTTTATAGTTGCTGATTTTGTCAAATTTTCTGGTGTTTTATCTACAATATTGTGGTAATTAGTATTTGTGAACTTATAGCAATAACTTTTTTGAGAATGAAGTAGTAATTAAAGGAAACACAGAAAATCAAAAAAGTTTCCTAATAATGATTACTAATAGTGTTGTAACTAATAATGTTGTAATTCAATGTAGAAAGATTTTACAAAACAATTTTGTTGTTAGTATTCATATAATCTACAAAATATTACATTTAAGCAATTTACAACTATATTTATCACATTCTATGATTAAAATTGATAATAAGCTTACATGTATAACAACTATTGATTACATAACTCTTTGATAACTAGGGAAATCGACAGTTTAAAACATGAAGTGGGGGAAATGCTGTTTCTTGATACGTGTTTAGAAACATAACTTGTATTTTAAATTCAGTTTTTTTAAAATTTTAGTCTTTTTAAATTTTTCTTTAAAAACATCACTGTCTTACAAATGTATATCTGACTATAATGAAATTTTCAGAGTTTAAGTTTGAATCATGGTTTAAAAAAGCAGTGACACTTTGGAAAATGAGTTGGTGAAAGGCATTGATTTCGATGAAGTCATTCACAGGTTGGCAGCTTTGAAGGCCAGGAAAGAAGAGTTGTGATTTAGTCAAGATGTTCACTAAGTGCTGAAATGCTTGTGTATTTGTTCCTGTTTATTTTTATGGTATTATTTCATTTATTAATATATTTCCACATGCATTTGTGTACAACTTCTACATTATTTGGACCGTTATTGATTATGCAAGCCTAATCCATTAATGAATCCCATGTAATGGTAAAGTTTAATGTTAAAATGAACATAATTTTGATGTAATTCTTAAAACATTTTTACTTCACATCTATTGTTTTCTTACTGAATTTTCACTTAAACCACATGAAACTATGTAAATGTAAATACATTTAGGCATATGATATTGTGATTTAAAGGTGTAATTTTAAGTTTGCTAGGGTTTTCAATGGCTGATTTTTTTCAAGTCGATCACCAGGTCTTTCTTCTGAGGTGCCTGAAGGTGGACTCAAACCACCAACCTTTCAGTTAGCAGCCAAGCATGTTAACTGTCTGTACCACCTAGGGACTCTACATGAGGCAGCTTTGATTAAAAGAATGGAGATGGAGGGAAATTAATGGACTGGAGAGATGTGTACGATGGTGAGGCTTTGCCAGACTGGAGCGAAGATGTGAGCTGCATCCATATTGTCTCAGTGGGAGACAAGCTTGGGTGAACAGAGAAGAGTAAGGAGCCCTGGTGGCACAGTGGTTAAGAGCTTGGCTGCTAACCAAGAGGTCAGCGATTCGAATCCACCAACTGCTCCTTGGAAACCTTATGAGGCAGTTCTATTCTGTCCTATAGGGTAGCTATGAGTTGGAATCCACTCGACATCAACGGGTTTGGTTTTTTTGTTTGTTTGTTTCTTTTGCTTTTGATTCAGGGTGGTGCAGTGGTTAAGAGTTCAGCTGCAAGCCAAAAGGTCAGCAGTTTGAACCCACTAGCCACTCCATGGGAGAAAGATGTGGCAGTCTGCTTCTATAAAGATTACAGCCTTGGAAGCCATATGGGGCAGCTCTACCCTGTCCTACAGGGTCGCTAGGAGTCAGAATTTTCTGAAATTAGATAGTGGTGATGGCTGTACAACACTGTGAATATACTAAAAACCACTGCAACTAAATGGCAATGGGTTTGGTTTTTGGTTTTGGTTTTGATTCAGGGCAGAGGATTTACACACTAGACCTCCTCTTCTGCCTGGGCCAGGAATCCTCAAACTCTTGACAGGAGTGCCCACCCTCTCCCCTCCCCAGCCACTGCTGCCCAGGGCAGGCGACCCCTCTCTTCTTGGATGGGGGGACCAACAGAGCTCCTCTCCACCTCTGGTTTGGCAGGCACTCTCCATGGAGGCAGAAACACCGGACTTGGGTCCTCCAGAAATTTGTGGTTATAAGGCCAGGGGGTCTAACAGGGCAGCTGTCAGAGGGGCTAAGATGGGCAGCTTTCCTTCAGAGCTGGGGTTCTTTAAGGAAGGCACAGCAGTAAGGGAGAAGATAGGCCTCTTGCAGGAGTGGGCCAGGGATGCAGGAAAAGTATTGGCCTATATGATGCAAAAGGTTAATTAACATGCTTGGTTGCTAACCAAAAGGTTGGAGGTTCAAGTCTACCCAGAGGCACCTCAAAAGAAAGGCCTGACAATCTACTTCTGAAAAATCATTGAAAACCCTATGGAGCAGAGTTCTACTCTGACACACACGGGGTCGCCATGAGTAGGAATCAACTTGACAGCAACTGGTAAATAAGTCTATGGCATAAGGACCACTGAGCTAGGAAAAAACTAAATGTCCCCAAAGTGCCATCATTAACAGAGCCACCACCAGAAGCCCCCATGTGGCTGTCAGAATGCTGTTGGCCAAGGGATCCCATGAGTGATGATCTTGCCATCGCTACCCTAATATCAACTCTTCAAGTCCTTGAGCATTTTAAAGATATAAACACTATTTAGAGACACACACACACACACATACATACACATACACGCACAAAGTAGGGATCAGATTTACACAGGGTGTACAGGGCTAGGTCTCAAGGGAAAGAAAGTCAGGAGCAATGTAAAAATCAGGTCTGACTTCCTCAGGAGGCAAGTCTGAGCTGCTAAAGGGCAGATATGTCTCATGCTCCTGTGTTATCAGCACTCGGCCCAGGTCCAACACAGGTCCTCTTAATGCTGGTTCACTGCATCAAAAAAACCATGAGACTGGAGAAACTGCAAGAGTATGGCCCCCAGACACCCTTTTAACTCAGTACTGCAGTCACTCATGAAGTACACCCTTCAGCCAAAGATTAGACAGGACCATAAAGCAAACAATAACATATGTAGTTCAACCATGAATACAAGACTAAATGGGCACACCAGCCCAAAAGCAAAGACGAGAAGGCAGGAAGCGATGGGAAAACTGGAAGAATGGAAATGAGGAGTCTGAAGTCACAAAGAGGAGAGTGTTCATGCATTACAGGGTTGGTAACCAATGTCATGCAACAATTTGTATATTAATTGTTTAATGAGAAACTAATTTGCTCTGTCAACTTTTGCCTAAAGCACAATAGGAAAAAAAAAATCAGTTGCCATCAAGTCAATCCTGACTCATGGCGATTCCATGTGTGTCAGAGTAGAACTGCGCTCCACAGTATTTAATGGCTGAGTTTTGGGAAGTAGATCTCCAGGCCTTTTCCTGAGGTGCCTCTGGGTGGACTCGAACTGCTAACCTCTAGGTTTGCAGCACAGTACATTAACTGTTTGTGCCACCCAGGGCCTCCTCACTACATCAAAGGCACTTAGAAAGGGGTCCAAAAAAGACACTTCCAATGGAAGGATATATGCAAACCACTAACGGCAAAATCTCTGGGTGGTGAGATTATAGGTGACTTCTATGCTTTCCTGTATTTTCCATTCATTCTAAAATGACTGTGTTTTACAGTCAGGAAAAATCTTTATTTAAAAAGCACACTTACGTCCTCAGTGAGATAATGTACGTCACAGCGCCGTATGTATTTTAAAATGCTGTGCCCAGCCTCTTCCTTCTCTTTTCCATTAGGAGAAGTGATGACACAGCACTCCTATCTGCCCCTGAGGAGCTTTGCTGTCAGAGCAGCCTCTCTGGCTGCCGCTGTGGCTAAACTCACTGAAAGGAAACTGGTGGCCAGGCTGCTGGGCCACACTGCATCTCTCCTGCATGGAGGGGTTAGGGAAAACCCTCATCTTCCCCTTTGGTTTGAGAAGACAAAGTAAAGTATTCTAATGAAATGTGCAAAGGCCTGGCGTTAGAAAACTGAAAGGGAAGAACATGCTCAGCATTTCTCAAACTGAAAGAACTGAAGAAAAAATTTGAGCCTCAAGATGCAATTTTGAAGGATTCTATGGGTAAAATTTTGAACGACGCAGGAAGCAAGATGGAAGGAATACACAGAATTACTGAACCGAAAAGAATTGGTTGATGTTCAACCATTTCAAGAGGTAGCATTTGATCAAGAACTGATGATACTGAAGGAAGAAGTTCAAGCTGTAATGAAGGCATTGGCGAAAAACTAGGCTCCCGGAATTGACGGATTACCAATTGAGATGTTTCAACAAATGGATGCGATGCTGGAAGTGCTCACTCGTCTATGCAAAGAAATTTGGAAGACAGCTACCTGGCCAACTGACTGGAAGAGATCTATATTCATGCCCATTCCAAAGAAAGGTGATCCAATAAAACGCAGAAATTATTGAACAATATCATTAATATCACACACAAGTAAAATTTTGCAGAAGATCATTCAAAAATTGTTGCAGCAGTACACTGACAGAGAACTGTCAGAAATTCAAGCTGGATTCAGAAGAGGACATGGAACCAGGGATATCATTGCTCTTGTCAGATGGATCTTGGCTGAAAGCAGAGAATACCAGAAAGATGTTTACCTGTGTTTTATTAACTATGCAAAGGCATTCAACTTTGT